CTTCAATACATTGTTGATAAATCACGATTGTGTTCAATTTTAACCATTACTTTGTATGTTAAATATTAATTGTTTCAATCATTAGATGCTCTCAGTACATTTGTTTAATCTGCTGGAATTCTTATTTCATCTTTATTATTTGTTGACAAAGATGTTACTGAAAAAAAAAATCAGGCAAACAACGCTGGATAAATGTTTGTTAATTAATAATATAGTATATCTTCTTATATAGAAAAAATATATTTCTTTTCGGACTATACATATAATTGAGTTCATCTTCATCTGTCCCTTTACACGTTTAGCAGAGTGCCAGCACAATTATTAAATTAATATTAATTGTGCTGGCCACCGCTAGAAGATTTTTTAACTCATTTAATAAAAAATATAGAAATGTAATAATTCTTACTGCTTATTCAAACATAGCAAACTATTGTAACATGTTGAATTACATTTGAGTACTTTTGGTATTCCTCACCTTGCAAAATTGATGTTTTCCATGAGCACTTTCTAAGAGACAGAGTGATGGTACATTCTGTACTCTAAGAAACAGTCTATCACACAACACAAACTGGTTTCTGTTGTACGATTGTGAAAGATGTTGCTTGTTTGTTCCCAAGTGATTATACATGTCATTTTTGATAGCTAATATTATTGGCATATTCTGCAAATCATCAGTTGCCTTGCGTGTTGCTTCTTGCCCTCTTGGTATTCTTAGCTTCACTGTATCTCTTACTTTGGCTACAGAAAACTTTAGCTCTAGTATTTTCGTTATTTTCTTTATTTGAGCTTCTAAACCTGCCTTTGCACTTGCTCAATCACTACTCAACTTCTTTTTCTGTTTTTGATTGTAGAAAGACTGATCACTTCCATATTAGAGTGTACTTGATGAATTGGAGATAGTCATATTAGGTTGGTCAAGTGATGCCTGTTTATTTTCAATACTTTTCCTGAAATATTTTCATTGGGATCTTCTAATTGAACCACTAGTCACACCTGCTACAGCATCATTACAAAGGGAAGCTGTCTTGGCACAACTTTTAAGGGTGAACCAAATAAGGTTTCATAAGAACTACACTTAATACCTTGATGATATGATCTATATTCTTCATTAGATGCACAAATCATAATCCCTCAATTTAGTGCTGGGTTTGGTTACTTTCTAACCAAAAGTTACAGGACAAGAACACATTATTTATCAAATTTACCATTCTAGATGTGTGACTATTCATAATCACCAGATTAATCACTTTTACCATAAAATATATATGTTAAAACTAGCTTTTGCCCGCGGCTTCGCTCGCGTTAAGAAGTATTATTATTAATTAGGTATAGTTTTTGTGGCTTTACTTTTGTTTAGTGTGTGTAAAAAATTAGGGCCTACAAAACTTCTTTGTACACAATATTCTTAACTAATCTGTCATTAGGCGCTAAAACTATCAAGCTATTGGGTGAACTTACTCGTGAGCAAGCAACATAAAACTGTCCATGAGAGAACATTCTTCAACTTCTCCATTAACGTTCAGATTTTCTTTAGCCATTTTAAAAAAGTCTAACCGACAAAACCTATACTTAAACCAAACGAAAACAAAACAAATGCCAAATACAAAGCAGAGTCTATAACCAAAACTACTAAACCGAAACAAAGCAAATGCAATCCAAAATATGCCAAGAAAAGAACAGCCAAAATCGTCAAATATAATCCGCTAGAAATATTTAGGTATAGTATGTACTATTAGATACGGCGGCCACTCATCATCGGGTATATGTAACTCAGTGAAAACACAACGATAGCGCGTTTTAAAATACTACTAACGCCATCTATTGTCAACATTTAGAACTAAAAATTATTTTGTTCGTCTTAATTTATTCGTTCCATTAGGTACTGATAGGTTCAAACTAATACATTTACATCCTCCATCATCCCTTATTTTATCCCCATGGGGGTTGAATTTATCAAAATCCTATTTAAGCGGACGTCTTCATCATAGTAGCTCCAATCTTTAATTTCAGTTCAATCAGTCGAAAATCTAAGAAGATTTATACAAACTTTCATCCCCTATTTTATCCCCTTAGGGGTGGAATTTATCAAAATCCTTTCTTAGGGGATGCCTACGTCATAGTAGCTTTATGCATGCAAAGTCTCAGCCCGATCGGTTTAAAATTGACAAAGTTTCATACAAACTTTCATCCCCTATTTTATCCCCTTGGGGGTAGAATTGATCAAAATCCTTTCTTAGCGGATGCCTACGTCATAACATCTACCTGCATGCCAAATTTCAGCCCGATCCGTCCAGTGGTTTGGGCTGTGCGTTGATAGATCACTATGACAGTCACCTTTGAGTTATATATATTTAGATACATTTAAAAAACTTTCACTTATTATAATCATAGTTTTGCTTATAGTTATCATTATCTCCAGGTAAATAGACATTTTTTTAAGTTGTGTGTTTGCACTGTTAGCTTCAATACATTGTTGATAAATCACGATTGTGTTCAATTTTAACCATTACTTTGTATGTTAAATATTAATTGTTTCAATCATTAGATGCTCTCAGTACATTTGTTTAATCTGCTGGAATTCTTATTTCATCTTTATTATTTGTTGACAAAGATGTTACTGAAAAAAAAAATCAGGCAAACAACGCTGGATAAATGTTTGTTAATTAATAATATAGTATATCTTCTTATATAGAAAAAATATATTTCTTTTCGGACTATACATATAATTGAGTTCATCTTCATCTGTCCCTTTACACGTTTAGCAGAGTGCCAGCACAATTATTAAATTAATATTAATTGTGCTGGCCACCGCTAGAAGATTTTTTAACTCATTTACATTGGATGGCAGATATGTAGCCTCAAATAAAAGGTCTGTATCACCTAGATTTGTTATTGCTTCTGCAAAGCGAGTGAAGGGACAGATGAAGATGGATTCAATTATATGTATAGTCCGAAAAGAAATATATTTTTTTCTATATGTGAATTCATCCTGGTAATTTTTTAATATTAGTATATCTTCTATTTTTACTTTTTTTTTAAAACTATTTTAACATGTTATTTAATAAAATCAGAATATTTATTTACTTATCCCATATAATATAGAGTGGGCATATGTATATTCCAGTGGGAAAATATTGTGATTTTTGAACAGTTTTTAGAAATGAGTTGCATTTGAGAGTTTGATAGGGTACACACACTGTACAAGTATGCAAAATGTATTTGTTCTCAGATGGATAGCTCTATAAAAAGCTGGAGGTGATATAAAATGTTCCTATATATTCTTGATTAATACCTCTAGACTTTGCAATATTAGAAACAGCTGAAGTTTGTCTTTAGAAGACAAACTGCAGATTCTTCAGGAGTGCATTAGAGATGCAATGAAACAAATAGTACTGGTCAGATACTATATTATTGACCAATTTGAAGAACACCTACAGAATTTAATGTCTGAAGACAAGCTTTTTAAAATTGTATTACATAGTCCATTTACTGACTTGCATTTGTTATACATGATTTAATTTTTTTGCCGAAACATACATATATGTTCCACCCTGTATTAGATTATTGTTCTTGGTGTATGCAAGTCCTGAGATGATTACAATAAGCGGATTCTGTTATATTTTCAAAATGTAAATTTTTTCATTTTTTAAAATATTTTAATGATTTCTTTTCTAAATTATTCTTAGAGCTCTTCTTTATTCTAGATCAGTGTTTCTCAACCTCTAATGAATTGTCGGCCCCTTCACTTTGAAAACAATTTTGTTGGGTTTATTAGTTTAATTTTTTACTAAGTATATAATTATCAAATAAACATTTATTTACTCAAAATACACATTAGATTTTGATATAATTAACAAAATGAAAATTAAGCATTATTCGCTTTGAATCCCCGCTGCATGCTTCAAAATTCTGATGCCAAGGCTAACGCCAAATTCGTATTGCATTGAATAGACTAGTCACTAGTATAATGTTATTTGTTTAAATATTGTATGATATAAAGAATAAAATATCTAATGATTCTTAATATAATGTTTTACTATATCGCCCAGAAAATTGTTTTTGCCCCCGAAATGTAAATTGTTACTAACCACTCCCCAATATGAAAAAAATGCCCACATGGGGACAATATTGGCCCCATTGAGAAACACTGTTCTAGATGATGATAAAAATTTACTTTTTCAAGAAATATGTAATTTTCCTATTCTGTATTCATTCTTAGATTAGATTAAGAAGTTTGTTGATGTTGCTAAATTAGAAATGCTTTATTTTGATGTTACATTTTTTAAAAATTTTAAACTACCTCTAATGACATTGCTGGGCTTGCTCCTCCAAATTTATTAATTTTGTGACCAAATGACAAATTGTCATTTATAATTTAAATTTCAATCAGAATCATAAAGGAGTCCATTCTGTTCATGTAAATTTTTGAGGATATTTTATTTCAGTTTTGTTTCTTTTTACTGTTAGAAGAATTGAGAAACAATATTATCCACAATATAGTCATATATGCACAAAACACAAAATAAGATCATACAAGTTAGTAACTTAATCCTAAAAAAAATTCTAATTATTTCTTGTCAGTGCTTACAAAAATCAGAACTCATTGATCTGCTAGAGTTGAAAATTTTATTTAAACTTTTGATGATTGTATAAAGTTGCAATATTGTATATTGCAAAAATAATTAAGTATCATTATTAATTTTAAATGGAGAATTAAAAATTTAATAATTTCACAAAATATATATTATGAAAAGAATATGGAGATTTAATGTAAATAATAGCCATTTCATTATGTTCAGGACAACAGTAAAATGATTTTGAAGTGATCATTTTGCTCATTTAATTCAGTCTTTTTTCTGAAAACTTTGAATTTCATAGTTATATTTCTGGAAAATATTAAACAATAAAATATTCTGAATAGTAAACTAGATCCAATTTACATAGGATCATTATATTTATTATATTTTATACAAATATTTGAAAATAAAATTTGCTTGAAGGAGTCTCCTAGACAAGAAAAAGAATCGTCAGTGGAAATATTACTGAAGAAAGATTCTGTACAGAGCAAGCGCCATTATCGTTCTCACGGCCATGGTGATTCGGAAAGCTCTTCGGAGGAAGAATCGCCGATAAGAAAAACTGTGCCGGGAAAAGGAAAGGTATTGTGATACATACAATTTCTTAAAATAAATAACAGTTTTTTCCAATTAAGATTGAAGGTTATTTGTGTGATACATTAATCATATTTGTTTTGCAAGTTAAAACATTATTCTATTTCATCTTACAAATCAAAAATTAGTCAACAGTAACTCTAGGAAGATTATGGTTTGCATTTATTAAAATCTTCATATTATTTCTAAATAGAGAATGTTGAATAATAACAATAAAATTTTTCAAAAACAGTTTCGTTTTTAAATATTTGTTTTACTTAAATAAAACTATTAGATTTTGAAATTATAGTATTTAGTTATATACTTGTATATTATTGTTTTCTTTTGCATTAGTTTCTTGTTTGGCTTGTTTAAAGTTTAAAATAATAATTTGTTTTACTATAAAGAAATTAATTTATAAACAATTTTATCTAACATTTTAAATTTGTTTTTAAAAGTACCTTATCGATAATATTGCAAACTTAAGCATTGCCAGAAATAAAATAGTTATGTTATATGAATCTACTAATGATAAATTTGATCTGTAATTAAAGAAACTAAGATAAAAGAATTACACAAAATACTTATTTATAATTTAGTGGAATGATAGACAGAGGAGAAAACAAAAAGCGCATTCGTCGTCGTCATCCTCTCGTTCATCTTCGTCTCGTTCACCCAGTCCTGTTGCCGGTAGAAAGAATCGTTCTAGTCCTCCCTATGGACATAGGTAAATTTATTATTTTATTTTCATTTTTTATTTGCATTCACAATATCTTAATTACAGTCAGAAATTGCCTTTTAAAATTTTGTTTAAAAATTTAATTAGAAAGCAATTCTAATTAATGAACAGTAATTGTGTCAAAAAATTTACTTAATTTTTGAATATATTACATGTTATAGTACTTATTTTTTAAATTGAACTGTACTACATATTAGGTTTAAACAGTAATTTTTTTTGGGGGAAAAAAGGTGGTGGAACGCTCATCTCATTACTAAAAAATACGAGGCGTGTATGGAAAGTAAATACCGTTTCGTTCTACTGCTATTGCAGTGGTAGTATCACAGTTCAGCGTCTGCTCACACGTCTCTCTGGTTGATTGTCAGTCCAGTGACACCATTACAGCCGGATTGTGTTGTTTTTTTCACGTGTTAGTGAGCGTTCAAAATGTTTAAGACTATTGCCGATCCTGCCAACTGTGAAAGTGCATTCTGTAATACGGTTTTTGAATGCAAAGAATGTTAAGCCAGTTGAAGTTCATCGTCAACTTGTAGAGATTTATGGTGAAAATGTAATGAGTGATGGAATGGTTAGAAAGTGGGTTCAACAATTCAATGCTGAATGCACTGATGTTCATGACGAAGCATGGAGTGACTGGCCTTCTGTTGTCAATGATGGTTTGGTTGCAATAGTGAATGAAAAAATTCCTGAAAACAGACGATTCACAATAAGATTGCTTTGTGATGAGTTTCCACAAATTTCAAATACTGTTTTGCATGAGATTGTTGCAACAACTGATGTTCGGCAGTGGCTGTCTTCACTGGCGGCATCTTTCTTTGAAGAGGGTGTAGACAAGTTGGTTTCCCAATATGACAAATGTCTGAACAATGGTGGTAACTATGTAGAAAATTAGTTTCAGACATGCTCTTTCATGTAAAAATAAATTTTGTTTTGAAAAAATATTTTTTATGCGAGTTTTTCCAAAACGGTACTTACTTTTCAGACATGCATCGTACACAAGATTCGGCACACGAGCAGGACTGTCTTAATAATTTTGTTGCCGATCTATGCTCAACAGAGCAATTCAATGCAGACCAAACACCAAATTTTCAAAAATTCTCTTAAAACATATTTAAAAAAAAAGGTGGTGGAATGCTGTTATATTGCATTCTATGACAAAAAAAAGTGCTGGGTTTAAATAATCCAAAACCAAAAGACTTAATTAATCAATTTAAATAAAATTAGATATGCAAAGTTTTCTTATTTTGACCATTTTGAAAGCAGGGTTAATATTATAAAGAATACTATTAATATAAAAGTTTGAGAAAACAAAATTTAAGTATAATAAAGTATATTAATTAAATAAAAAAAGGAGGGAAATGTGAAAAAACTATATTTACATTTTAACTATGAACTAGGTTTTTTTTCTTTTTTTTAGTAGACAAAGTTGTTATCAGTTAATTTAGAACATTATTTGAAGAATATCAGTAAAAATGTTAACAACATTTTTGTAGAGCTTCACCACGTTGGAGGAATAGTCCTCAACGACAAAGATTTGCACGTTATTCACCACAAAGACGCCGCTCACCTACACCTGAGAGACAAAAACGAATGCAGAGTCCAACTCCTGAAAGGTTTAGACATAGGCCATATGGAATGGATAGAAGATCACCAATGTATGATAGAGAAAGGGAGAGAAATGACAGAGAAAGAGAAAGAAATGATAGAGAAAGAATGAGAGATAGAGGTAATGATACATTTGTTTTCTAAAGTATTATAAAGACTGATACATTAAAATATGAAAATAAGATGATGTAAAGTTTCAATGATTAGTTTAATTATGATAGAAGTTAGTTAATCTGGCACTTGCAGTACGTTCTTGGACCAAAATATCAGTCTCATGATAAAAATTTTGTTTGTTCTGGAGGTAATGGATGGCCGCCATCAGTTAGATGAAACCAGGCCGTCTTTCTCCATCCATTTCCATCTCCACAAAGACTGTCTTTATCAGAAGGCAGTAAACGTGAATTAGTTAAGTCCACGACCATGTTTTAAACTAAAACAACATTTATTTACAACAATCTTATGAGTACGCTTGAGAGAGAGCTACACATGCTCATGGCAGCGATCACCTGACAAGAAAAAGCAACAATACCCAGAATCCCATCCAAGAAAAACCCTTGTCCCCGTTTTTCAATCTGGGATTCATGGGAAACTCCTAGAGGAGTGGCGTTATCTCACCAGTCCGTGATTTGTCGCTGCAATACCCCCTCCTAGCGATCACAATCGATGAATCTCACTGGGGGTTTGATTTTGAGGCCGTCGTGAGGTCTTCGTCTTGTATGTGGGTTCTGGTTGGTGATTATGCCTGGCCATCTTGTTGCTGGGTTGGTCTATCACAGGCTGTGCAGGGCTGATTGAGTCTTTCTCCTTGAGCATAAAGGCAGGTTTCAGTCTGTCGATGGAGACGACCACTTCTTTGTTATTTTTTTTTATTTTGAAGAATTTGTCTCCCTTTTCCACTACGGGGAATGGTCCGTCGTAGGGAGGGCGTAGTGGGGCGCGTACAGCATCGTAACGTAGAAAAACGTGGCTACAGTCTCTTAAATGCATGGGAACAAAAAGTTTGGGCTCCCCATGCGATGCTGCCGGCGTTGGTGTTAAGTTTTTGAAGAAAGACTTTAGTGTCTTTATGAAATCTGCAGTGTTTATGTCCGCTGGGGTAGGATCGAAGAATTCACCTGGTAAACGTATTGTCTGTCCGTAGACTAACTCACTGGACGTTGCTTGTAGGTCAGGCTTGAACGTTGTCCTTAACCCAAGTAGTACGGTAGGGAGTATCTCCGTCCACCGTTCTGTTAAGTAGGTTTTCAGGGCACATTTTAATGTCCGATGCCAACCTTCGATCATACCATTAGCCTGGGGGTGAAAGGAGCATGTATGTATGTGTTTCGAACCCATTAGGATAGCCAAAGACCGAAACAAACATGATTCAAGTTGGCGTCCCTGGTCGGTAGTAATGACCCCCCCGGAACACCGAATCGAGCTATCCACGTCCGGTATAAGGCTTTAGCCACAGTGTCGGCCTCTATATCCCACAGTGGTTCTGCTTCAACCCAACAAGTATACCTGTCGATCATAGTGAGACAATAGCAATGATTTCCAGAAGGAGGGAGCAGACCAATGAGGTTGATGTGGATGTGATAGAAACATTTGTTTTCCACAGGGATGCTTGTAATTGGACTTTTAGTATATTTAGTAATTTTGATGCGTTGACAGGGAATGCACGTAATTGTCCACTTGCGACGGTCAGCCTCCATGCCCGGCCATACGAACCGATCGATTATTAGCTTCACCGTGGCTTTACTGCCTGGGTGCGAAAGGTCATGCATGGCATGGAAAATTGATTGCCTTTGCGTCTCAAAGATAAAAGGGCGAATCTTACCAGTAGACACATCACAGTAAAGTTCTACTTGATATTCCAGTAATATTAGTTTTTTAAGCTGTAGACTGGTCGAACTATTTTCCAAAAGTAATTGTAGGCTTGGGTCGATCTTTTGTGCATCAACAATTAATTTGTAATTTATGGGAGGAGGGCAAACGATAGAGTCGACTCTGGAAAGTATATCGGCCGGAATATTATCAGTTCCTTTTATGTATCTAATGTCAGTGGTAAACTGGCCTATATAATCTAATTGACGTAATTGTCTGGGGGAGCATTTTTCACTTTTCTGGAGAAAGGTAAATGTCAATGGCTTATGATCTGTATATAGCGCGAAAGGTCTAGCTTTCACCATAAAATGAAAATGCTTAATCTCTGAGTAAGCGGCTAACAGCTTGCGATTGTACGCCAAATATTTCTTTTCCATATCTGTAAGTTTGCGTGAAAAAAACCTAATGGCTCTGTGCCGGATTTAGTGACCTGATGCAGCACGACACCAAGGGCGAACTCTGATGCATCAACCTGCAACGCTAAGTGTGCATCCAGGGCTGAATGAGCTAGTAGAGCTGCATTTGCTAATCGAGTTTTGGATTCCTCGAATGCCTTTTTTGCTTCGTCTGTCCATGAAATTTCCACATTGTCGGATCGTTTTGTGTTTTTCAAATAGTCACAAAGCAGGGCTTGAGCCTGAGTGGCGTGTGGAATATTACGGTGATAGTAGTTCAACAGGCCTAAAACCCTACGGAGCTCTTTTACTGTTTTGGGTCGCTCAATCTTTATGGCGGCTTCTACTTTCTGGGGGAGAGGTTTGATTCCGCTGGCGTTGACTAAATAACCTAGGAAAGGTAATTCGTTTGTACCGAGTATGCACTTATCTGGGTTTATTCGAATACCATATTCTGATAAATGTCCGAGTACTTTTTCCAGATGAACATAATGTTCTTCCTTTCTCTTACTTGTCAACAGGATGTTGTCTATGTAGACAAAAACAAAATCTAATCCATGTAAGACTTCGTGCATAAACCTCAGGAAAGTTTGTGCCATGTTGGACAACCCAAACGCATGTATAAAAATTCATAAAGGCCAAAGGGTGTTGTAAGGGTATGTCTTCAGGGTGGACCAGGATCTGATGATATGCTCGCGTTAGGTCTATTTCGGAAAATATAGTCTTCCTGTATAAATTCTGAGCAAAATCTTGTAGATGAGGCAGTGGGTGCCTGTCCAGCACCATTATTTTATTAAGGGCCTGGTAATCCCCAGTGGGATGATAGTCCCTGTTCGGTTTGGGTACTAAGTGCAGTGGATTGGACCAATTGGAATTACTCAGCCGACAAATGCCTAGTTCTAACATTAACTGGAATTCCTTTTTTGTGATTTCCAGCTGTTCTGGATTGAGATGGCGGGGGCGAGAAAAAACGTTATGTCCTTTGGTAATAATACGGTGGACCGTGTTGTGTTTGGGTTTGGTGCTAGATGGATGTGGCCGAAGGATATCTTTATGTTTGTTTAAAGTGTCGCTGAATTCCAAATTAGAAGCAGTTAAAGTAATGTTAGTTTGCACGCTGTGGTGAGCGGACCCTGTCGTTGTCAAGGACGTTAATGGGTCTGTAATGCGGGCGTTTTTTAAGTCGATCAGGAGACCGAAGTTTCTTATGAAATCAGCGCCTATTATTGGTTTGCTGACATTTGCGATTACAAGGCCACATAAATTCGCACCTTAAATTTAGGGACACGGTTATGGTTTTTGTGCCGTAAGTCTTTATCGGGGAATTGTTGCCGAATAAAGTGTCAATGAGGAGGATGCTCTTAATGCTATGGCGACGTTATATGGTAGAACGCAAATGTCGCTACCACTGTCGATTAAGTAGTGACGACATGAGGTTGGATCGTAAACGAAAATGTGGCTTGTGTTAATTTGGAAATCACATTGCGCCACGTGTGATTTTTGAGCTAGTTTCCCTGATCTCAGAATTTGCAAGGGGCCTTACATTTATTTGCTTGATCACCGAACTTTGCGTGATACCAGCATAGGCCTTTTGCCTGGGGTCGAACCAGTGTCTGCGAACGCTGACGATTCCAAGATCGATTCCGGGGGTGTCTATAATCACGTGATTGTCTGTCACTGGGCCTTGCTAGTGTGAGCCGCCGGGGAGGTTGGGAAAGCCTCTCCTATATGGCCACAGGTCGGTGACCTACTTTCTTGTCAAGGATGGCGTTACATTCAGTTACGCGTTACGCGAGTGGAGGAGAGTCAGAAGGGTCGACGATAAGACGATGTACAGTTGAGTAAACGACACCATTTAAAAACAAAACAAGAGTTTATTAAACTGACTAACTAAAGAAAATTTACACAAAACTCCTTCAACATAGCAAAGAGAGAGAGTTCACAATAATATTTCATACCTCTGGGATAATATCGGATGGATACTCCGGTTTTAATTTCTGATATGCGGTGCAAGGTGTGGCTTAAGGTGGAGTAGGTCTGCGATGGGGAAAACTTCGATGTCCGTCTCCGTCGTTGTTCGTTCGATTGGCGACTCCCCCGATTGAAGAAGGAGGAGACTTTTTATACGTTTTGCCATGAGAAAAGTCGTCATGTGACCCACTGTCTTAGCAGGTGTGAGGTTAAAGGTGGTTCCGAGCTGCAATAAATCGTTGAAGTTGGACTTTAATCGTCAACATTAAGACTTGCAGACGACTGCTATTGTTAGATGGTCGAATGTTTACGTTAAAGGAGAGAGTTGTAACTTGATACTTAATATGTTTATATAAGGGAGATAGTTGATTTCGTTTTTCTGACGATGGTTTTTTTTTCCAGTAAGGTAATAAATTTATTCAAAATATGTTACAGTTGTTAAAATTTGGAAGAAAGAAAAACAAATTGGGTTGCCCACGGGTCGGATCTCACACTAGGCAATTAACTTGCTCTGTTAATTCAGCGACCTGCGTTTGGAGCTTCATTATAGCCGCGTGTGTATTATTTTCGTTCCTTGCTAAATTAGTTTCAGCTATTTGCAAAGGTGTGAGCTTGAGAATTTTATCATCCATTTGGGCTAATTTGTCTAAATCTCCATCGGAAACAGAAAGAATTGCCTGAGTTTCTTTGGGTAAACGCTGAATCCATGGCGTTCTTAAAAATTCCTCCCCAACTTTATTGCTAGCTAGTTGTTGCATTTTATGTAAAAGATGAGATGGTTTCTTCATCTCATTCATCTCCTAACATGGCATTAGACAGCAAATCTTTTACTTGTTTTTGTTCGGAATTAGAAAATTCTGCTATGAGTCAATCTTTTAGTGTTTGATGTAAATTTTCCCTAGGAGGGTTTTTAATGATAATCGCTCACATATGATAACACTTCAGAGTTGAGAGCTGAAACCACTGCGTAATACTTAGTAGTATCTTGCGATATATCAGCGAGTTTAAACCGGGCCTCGATAAATAAACCATAAATTGGCTTCTTTATCCCAAAATTGAGGAAGTTTAAGGGCTTCCTGACTGATTTCTGGCTTAAGATCGATTTTGTTTGGCATTTTAAGACAACCAGGGGATACCTACTCAGCAGAACAAAAAAAATGGAACAGAAAACTCCACTTACCCGTGTTAGATGCCTTACTCTGGCAAGAGGTTGCAGACACACAGATGTGGGGACAATTTCGCCAGTTTTAGGAGTGGCTACGTGTGGCAAGTGGTTCACATCCCCAAGGAGCATCGTCTATCGTAGTCGCGGAATTTATTCCGTACTATCCACTGAGGGAACACAATGCAGTAACTAGTAAAGGTCTTGTTCTTTCTTCGCAACCTTCTGACTCCAGATCAGAAGGTTGCGTGTTTGGGTCACGTCCGGTTCACCACTGGAGGTAATGGATGGCCGCCATCAGTTAGATGAAACCAGGCTGTCTTTCTCCATCCATTTCCATCTCCACAAAGACTGTCTTTATCAGAAGGCGGTAAACGTGAATTAGTTAAGTCCACGACTATGTTTTAAACTAAAAGACATTTATTTACAACAATCTTACACGTACACTAGAGATAGAGCTACATGTGCTCATGGCAGCGATCATCCGGCAAGAAAAAGCAACAATACCCCGAATCCCATCCGGGAAAAATCTTGTCCCCATTTTTCAATCTGGGATTCACGAGAAACTCCTAGAGGAGTGGCGCCATCTCACCAGTCCGTGATTTGTCACCGCAGTTTTATAAAGTTTTCTTAATGAACTGCAAAATTATTATTTTGATATGATTATTTTCCTTTCCTATTCCAAAAATTAATATGTTCAAAGTAACAAATATTTCACATAAAATTTTTATAAATTATTGTAAATTTTTCCACTATATATTATTTATCAGTTTAAAAACTTTAAACTTTTTTAAATTCATAAAGAAGTAATTTCTACTGTGATGAATGTTGCAAAACAATATGCATGTGTTTACAAAATTATGAGGGCTAATTTTTAAATAAGGTCCGTTTGTGAGTGAGAGTGAGAATGATGCACAATCGCAGCAGTGCTTGTGTGTGTCTGCTGCAAGCATGCTTTGCATGCATTTAGACACCATTTGCAGCCATGTCGTCTATGTGCTGAGCTGTAAAAGTTTATAATGTTTAAGAAAATTGAGCCACCCGCTGACTGTGAGATATGATCTGTTATTCGATTCTTGAGTGCAAGAAACTTGGCAGCAGTGGAAATTCATTGTCAGATTTGTGAAGTTTATGGTGATAATGCTATGAGTGATAGCAAAGTTCGAAAGTGGGTAAGAATGTTCAAGGACCGGCGGGTTAATGTGCATGATGAGCCACACTCTGGCCGACCTTCTCTGATTTCTGAAGATTTGGTTTGTGATGTGGATAACAAAATCCGAGAGGACCAATGATTTACGATTTCAATGTTATCAACTGAATTTCCACAGGTTTCAAGATCAGTTTTGTATGTCATTGTTTCGGAGAAACTGAATTATCGAAAATTGTGTTCTCAGTGGGTTCCAAGACTGCTTCTTGACGATCACAAAACAAAAAGATTGGACAGTGCTTTATCGTTTTTGACTCGATACGATCAGAAAGGAGATGAATTGTTGGACCACATTGTTACAGGTAAGACTTTGGTGTCTGACATGACTCCTGAGTCCAAGCAATAGTCAATGGAATGGTGACACACATCTTTGCCAACCAAAGCCAAACAGTCCATTTCAGCATGAATAATTATGGAAACTGTCTTTTGGGATGGGAAAGGGATTTTGTTAGTGGATTTTATGCCGAGAGGCACAACAATCAATTCTGATGCATATTGTGTGACCTTGAGAAAAATCCAGCGTATCATAAAAAAGCAGTATGGTCTACTGTCTTCCGGTGTGATGTTGCTCCATGACAATGCAAGGCCACATGTTTCTGCACAAACACAAGGTCTAATCAGTTCTTTTGGATGGGGACAACTGGATCATTCACCTTACAGTCCAGACCTGGCACCCAGTGATTTTCACTTGTTTCGATACTTAAAGCAGGTGGTCAACGGTTCAGCGACAATGAAGAAGTGAAAACTACAGTTATGGATTGGGCTTTTTCACAGGCGGCAGATTTCTATGAAGTTGGAATTCAAAAAATTGTTGAGCGGTATGACAAATGTTTGAACAAACATGGAAATTATGTAGAAAAGTAGATGAAAGTATGTAGAATACAGGTATACCTCGACTTACGTCGTTTCGAGTTACGTCGTTCCCGATTATACGTTGTTTGTCAAAAAAGTATATGGAAAAATAAAAATCAAGTTTAAGTCATTTTATTCGACTTTACGTCTGTCTGCCACAAATATTGAAGTTGTAATATAACTAGAAAAACGTTTAAAGCACATAAAATCATATTAAAATATATACAAGTATGTACTGTATTTACAGTATATGCATTCGTAAATTTAGATTACTTTTTTTCTGTACTGTATTAAAAACTAAAATTTATTTGTTTGTGAGCTTAAAATAGATTTTTATTAACCATATATTATTAAAAATGCATTAATAAATAAAATACAGAACCGGGAATGGTAATTTATGGTTTAGCCTAGTGATAAGTAGATTCGGAGACAAGTAAATTCGACTTGACGTTCTCCTGGAACCAATTACCGACGTAAGGCGAGTTATACCTGTATTGGAAAAAATATATTTTAATGATATTTACAGTATATTTCTTCTTATTAAAAAACAGACCTTATTTTAAAAATAGCCTTTGTACATATTTCTAATAAACAAAATTATTAAAATTTCTTTGTTTTTTATCGGAAAGAATGAAACTGTTGATCAAAAAGGGTATATAATTTGTAAGTTTACATTATTTTTGTTCTGAATTTGAACGATATTTCAAGCAATTTTTAATTTTCAGAAAAATTAATCTAAATTATAAAGTAATAGTATTAAACTTCAATGTGACTTCAGGTCGCCGACCATCACCAATGTATCCAGAGAAAAGAAGGTGGTCTCCACGAGATGAACGGAGGCAATGGATGTACGACGATCATCGACAGAGAATTAACCCAAATTACGATAGGCAAGAATATGCATCGAGACATTGGCCTCCTCCTAGCCCAAGAGGCAGATATCATTCCCCATCACCAGAGATTCAGAGATTACCTGAAAGACGTCGTAATTCTCCTTCCTTCGGTTCTAATAATATGAAGTATGTAAGGTTAGTAGGTTCAATCTTTCTTCATACTGTTTATTATAATTTTTTAGTATGTAATTATTTGAATTGATTATTTTAAATTAGAATAAAAATGGACTTGGAAATATTGTCCTTATTGATTTTTAGAGAATATATTGACTGTCGGTATAATTGGATGAAATGCTCCCTGATGCCATTCTCAATTAGGAATGATAATCAACTTTTAACATTTGTTCTTTGGCATAAACTTGTAATAAGGTTTGCAAAAAGAAGAATTTATGTGAATCATCATGTAGATGGCATATGAAACAGAAAATTTTAACCAGATACTACAGGATAACTTTTTCAGCTCAGGCATACTGATACATGTAGAATTTGTTGTTTACTGTATAGAATAAATGAAAGTTGTATTCAGTAGTTACTTAGCACTCATCTTTTACATTTTATGCAATTGCTGTCTTATAGAAAAGTTATCAGATAGCCGAAAATAATTGTACTGTGTTCTGGAAATAATTATATAGTCTACATAATGCATATGCCTTTTCTATCAACCAATGACAATACTTTCAACATGTCATCCATTGCAAGTTATTACAGTTATGTTAAAAAGTATTGTTTTATCACATTAAATTCATTTTAAAATAATAATTTTAGATGCTTATAAAATATATTCAATAATAATAATTGTAACATTTAAAATTATTTATATTTTGTAATTTAAATATTTATAATTTTAAATATTGTATTTAATTTTGTTGGTTTTCTAACATTCCATTCTCAAACTTTGTGTAATAGCTGATGATGACAAAGTAGGTTAAAACATTTGCTTTAACAAACAGACTTTCAAATAAAAAGCTATTTGTTTTCTATTTTGTAAAATGATGTTAGTTTTTCTCTGAATTTCTTAATTTAGAAAAGAAAATTAAACATACTGATTTAAATTTTGTTACTAAAGTAATGTTTTTGTTGACATGAGAAAACAGTATGTTTTGATTGTCTATTTGTGACGTATGATCTGATCTTAGCTTATGAGATGGAGACAGGCCAGAAAATTAGACAATAAATAGTAGCAGTAGCACAGTAGTTCAATTCATTGTTATTGGGATTACTTTTCAGTTTCATTTTTTAAACTTATATCAATCTCTGTTCAATATTAAGTTATTAATAAAACCATTTATTTAATGTAAAAAGAACAAAAATAAATAAATATTTTACTACTGATTTGCTTAAAATTAGTACAGTCGACCCCCTTATAACATGGGTTCATATATTGCAGCGAAAAAATTGAAACCATATTCGTATAAAGATGCTAAAAGAGACTCGTAAAATGTCATCGCCAACTCGTGTTGCGACAGGATTGGTCAAATCTGGACCAATAGTGGATGAGCAGCATATTAAGTTTAATTCTATTGACAAAAAAAAAAGACAATGGGTTAATTGACCCCAACAGAAAGTTAACTAATTCAATACTTGAAAAGTAGTAACAAAATCAATAATCAAAGCAACTTGTACATATATCTAATCAACAAAATTGTTATCTCCACCTCAAAAAATATGATTTTACAGCAAAAGATTATATTTCCTCTAGTTTATTACCCTTCAGTAGGAATAGAATGAGCAGGCTGTCTTTCGACTTAGCCCGGAAAGTTAGAAAAGGTGAGGATAAAGGGTGGAAGTTGGGAAGAAGTAGGTTAGAGAGGAAGAGGAAAAAGGCGGGGGAGGGGGTGGAAGAGGCAGAGGGTGAAAGGAAGGGTTTGGGATTTCCTGGACGGACGTAACTTTTTTATTGAAAATAAAGGAACATTTACATATAAACAAGGTGCCAATTTGGCTTGGAAGAGTACAGTACTAAGTATAATTATACAATAAACACATTTCAAGTGGGGTATTACAAAAAAGTTGGGTAGTATACAGAGGTGCCTTGTGCAAGCGGTGTTGATGCTGTAAAGTCTGTCAGATGGTCCTTATTGGCGGGTAGTTGACGAACACGGTGAGTTGTGGTTGCTGGAAGCTGGAAGAGGTTACTGCTGCTGGACAAGTTGCGGAAGATGATAGCTGGATGCTAGAAGGAAATTGCGAACTAGTGATTAGGCCCGCAGACTATGGCAGACAGAGGTGGAGCCCAACCGATGGGGGGGATGAGTGGCCAGCCTAAGATGGACCGGTGGCAGGCAGGGGAGTGCCTGTAGGAGGGCAACCCTGCGAGGAACCACGGAAGATGGTGCAGGAGTTTATAAAATTGTTGAACACGGTGAAGGTTTCTTTAGTCTCACATAGAAAGTCTGCTGGAGGTGGCCATGGCTGGCCGTTGAGGGTGCAGTGCATCCATAGAGGACCACGCTGGAGGTCAAAGTCCGGGCAGTCAAAGACATAGTGGAAAACATCCCCAATACTAGTGTTGTCACAATGGCAGTAAGGAGATGGAAGTTTTTTGAATCTGTGTAGATATGCCGGAAGGTTCCCATGCCCTGTGAGGCATTGGGAGAGCTCAAAGGTGGGGTGAAGATGATGCAGGAGGATGCGTCTGTGGATGGAGGGTAGGAAGCGGTAGGTAGTGCGGCCAGTAGTGGAGACTTCCCATTCCGATTGCCAGGCCTCATTGCATTTTTTGAGGATGTAGCTGTTGATGTGCGTTATAGGTACACGTCCATAGGTGGGATTTAGCTTCAAACCAGCCGCCTTTTTGGCCAGGGAATCAGCCCGCTCATTTCCTTCGATGTTTTGGTGACCGGGAACCCAACAAAGGGTAACGTTGCTGTAGTTGTTGAGAT